TTTTGTGTTGAATATTGTGTTTGATTTAGTTTATTCTCTCCGAGAATTCATGATATTTTGAATTTTTTATTATTTGATTTATTATTTTTCATCTATTTTTTGTAGTCTCGTCTTTAGAAGAATCAATGAAGCTTCATCGAACGTAGAAGAGGGATCGTTAGGAACATTATAGGCATAATATTATTGTCGGTACTTTTGTTCAGAAACACTTGAACAATGAAATTACATCTCTGTGTAGAAGAGAGTGGATGAAGATTGAAGAACCAGCTAACAGAAGAAGAATGAAATCAATAACAACATTCTAGCCGTGAACTTCAGGAGCCTCTGAATGGGAATGAACCTATGACATGTATTGGGGAGATCAATTGCTACCCGGAAGAATCAACACTCATAAACGAGACATAATATTTTGAACCAAAATTTTAATATATTAATTTTATGTGCATTTTTCACTTATAAAGTCTTACACTCTCTCCTTATATTCGATATGAGATTTCCCATTTCAATAAACATAACACTAAAATTAAAATTTTAATAAATCTCCCTCCAAACTATAATTTTTTTTAGTAAATATCAATGTAGTTAAAATAACAATCCTCCTACAATACTTCTACATCAATCAATATTTTTTCATTTGAAGTTTGATGGTGACATACAGAGGCTAATTTGAAAAGGAAAAATAACTTGAAAGAATAGAAAACGGTAGGGATAAATTTGTTTCCACATATACTTCATTTATATTTATATGTTGTGGGATCAGAATATAAAGTTATAAACATGTGAAAAATAAGAGAGATCTAATTGTAATTAAACAGTAATATATTTAGAAGTGTAAAATGGTGGAGCAAATAACATTTATGGTATAAATATAGCCATTACTATGATAGCACAGACACACACAAGCTACAGCCACTAGGTTAATGTGAACAGGCCTGAAGGTGAGTAAGGATATTCTCTATTAATAGAGAATAAGTACTACAAAAATACAATGGAAAAATAAATGAGAAGATATTTTTATCCTTTTTGTATATAATTGAATAACAATTTTGCCTTTGAAAATACAAAAGAAATGTGATATTTGTCTCTCTATTAATGGAGAGGATCCTTATTCCCTCAAGGTATGCACTTGAAGCACAAGTTGTTAATGTCACTTTTCTATGTGTCATCAATTACAAACTCACATTTATGTTTTGTTAATTTTTGGTTAGTTATTATGATACAACTTTAATTGACATATCAATTTATAATTGGTGACACATAGAAAAGTGACATAGATAACTTGTACTAATCCTTCACGCACATGAGGTGTGGAAAATCCTATGGTCGGTGACTCAGCGTGATCCATGTGTATTATAAGGATTACATGTTACAATAATGGAGAATGCCCTTTTGTATTGAATAATGAATCATTATTCCTTCTTTAAAGCACTCTAAATGAATTTCATTCATAAAAAATTTAATATAATTGGTTTAACTTCCTCCAATCACGATGTCACAGCAGAAAGGATATAGAGCACCCCAAACAATGAAAGTGTTTAATATACTTATATTTAATTTCATTTACAATGCCGTCCATCAATATCGGCAACACATGAAAATTAACTCCTCCACTTAATGTATTTTTTTTATACTACTAATAATATATTTTCAATTTTTAGGTAAAGAATTAATACATTTCGTAACAAGTGTCGCTTCCAGTAATTAAACATTTGACTTTTTGATTATTCTAAGGATATAATGATACATTACATTAATAAAGAAGCGTAATATTGATTGAATGTTATGGTTTGCAGTATTTGTTTTTTTTTTAATCCAAAGTGAAGTGCATATTGTGGACTTGTTCAATTTAAAATTTGAAGGTGGTTTTGCTCTTATATGGGTCATGTCTCTTATGATTTTGCTTAATGATGAATAGACCCTAGGTCATTATTTTAATGTAACTCTTTCATTTGTTCAAATCCAATGTATATGGGTTGAGCACACTTGTGGTCCTATATATTCATCTTTTTATTTATTTATAGAAAAATGTTTGAACTAAAATAATAAAGCATAAAGCATTATACTTTAAACCGTGCTTTAAGCGGTGCATGAGATCTTTGTGTCTCATTTTTTATTTGAGGGTTTGGTTAGAAAAAAAAACAGGTGAATACATTATATATAGAGACAATCAATAAAATATTTATAACACATTAAAAATTTAATTCTAATAGAATTTTTTCTAAATGATAATATCAAAAAACATAAATACATTTATATTTAAATATGACATGTTATATATTTCTTTACCCACGTTTTTTTTTCTTCATTCTTGAACATTATCTGGCCAATTAGCTCTAATACAATTCCTTTCCATGGGTTGGCCTTCAATTCGATCTGGAGCATATTATGTGTCAAAACAAGAGCATACCATGGATATTCCTTGAAGATGGACACAACAATAATACTACACTTAATTAGTAGTTTTCTGATAATAATTCAGAGCAAGAATCTTTTCTCTCATAGACTCTCATTCATGAGAATCAATATAATTGAAAATGACAGTGTTATCTTAAAATTGATTAAAATTTCAAAACATGCTTAACAAGTCAAACATATTACACAATTGATCGAAACTTTATAAACCCAGTTGCTAGTATTTTTTTTTTTGAAAATAGAGAATAAAGTATATTCTGATATAAGGAGATGAATTATCTCATCTGACCACTAAAATCAAGATTTAATCATTTTTCACAAAAATATTTCTAAAAACTAAACAAAATAATACACATATCGTACTTTTAATAGAGATACTTTATTCTCTTTATAATACGCCTAATAAGTCAAACATATTCCAAAAAATCAGTTTTATTGCTATGTTATTTACAATTTTATTTTAGGGTTTATTTACAAATTGAAATTTCGATGACATTTCACAGGTATATTTCATGTCTCCTTCAAAACCTAAATCCAAATGGTTGCACCATGTGAAAGAATAGGAAGCACTAAAAAAATGCCAAATATTTTACTGTATTATTTTAAGAAAATATTAATTAACCAGTGTCTTGAGGAAAAATCACTTGTTATAAAATTAAAATGTACATTAAACAATGGTGCATTTAAAATTTTGAAATTTTAAGTATTATACTTCTTATACATATTTGTCTATGTTTGTAATTATTAACCATTGTTCAACACTAGTTAACATCTGACAGCAATCCTTGGCATTACTATATATTCAATCGAAACCATCTCATTGTAAGCTGAAATATGAACATTTTATCTAATTGATTGCCATACATCATGTGCAATGTTAAACTCATCAAATCCAAACCCTAATAGAAACATCAGTGAAATAAATCTTATAATTAGCTAATTCTTTAGATACAATTCTGCAGGGTTGATTAGTACTCGATAAAATTATTATGGTCTTACTAATAAATGTTACAAAAGGATAAAAATTGAGTGTAATATCTATGTATTGTTAGTGTAAAGATTTATACATAATCAATATATTATTCACTATTTATTTGTATTACCTTTTGAGGAATAAATGATTATTAAAATGAATTGTCAATAAGTTGCTTTTAAGATATTAAATATAACATTTTTAAGTGATAACTTTTATTTTTTCAAAACCTTAAATGATATCACTAGAATACTGGTTAATTAGAGTTCTCTTCATTTTATAGGTTTGCGTAAATCCCGTATAATTGGAAAACTAAGTTCATTAATTAGTTTTCATATATTAATTAAGAGTGTAATTTCTATACAATGTTAAAGGAAAGATTTATTTACAATTTTTTTTTTCAAAGGGTGAATAATGATAAAATATAAATGTTGGATGATGTAACATTAATGTATAAAACTCATACATCATTAGTATATATATTTTCCCCATGAATTAATAAATTGTTTCTAATATAACTTTGTAAATTATTTTTCCTTAATCCTTATGGACGAGTATTTTATATGAAAAATCATCGAATTAGATGCTTCTATCCATAGATATATTATCATAAAAATTATGCAATCAAATATATAAATTTTATATAGTTAATGTATTATCTATCATTTACATTTAATTATTATTGATTATTTCATACCAAGTAAATGTTAGACAATGTATCATGTGCATATAAATCTTCAGAATAAAGATAACTTATCTTCTTAAATCATGTCTTATTTTTCTTTTATCTAGAAGTTTTTGTTTCAAAATATATTATAAAAAATAAGATACATTTCAATCGATGAGTAAATTTTAGGAGATAAATTATCTTATGATATATATAGATAATTTGTTGTCATAAATTAAAGAGTAAATTACATTCACACTTCTGAGTTTTAATGAAATTACACAAACCACCATCTTTTCTTTGTCCTTACACCAACCACCTCTCCCTCATACATAAATTACCCCTAGATTTATACATACATTACACTGACCACCTCTGCATGTTATAAAAGTGCAATATTTTAAAGGAAAAAAAAATGTGTGATGAATGTAATTAAGTTAAACAAATATTGTATATTGTGTAACACTTCAAATAGTATAAAAACGAGTGTTTCTTTATTATTTTTGTGTCACTAAAAAATACATTAATAATTTCAAATAAATGTTTAAATAACTCTTATACTATTTTATAACGAGCCAAATAATGAAGACACATTGACTCTTATATTATTTGAATTTGTCTACACAATATAAAATATTTTGTTTAATTAATTACACGCATCATACATTTTTTTGTCTAAAATATTATACTTTTATATCATGCAGGGGTAATTGGTGTAATATATGTACAAAATTAGGGGTTGTTTGTGTAAGGACAAAAAAGTGAGAGGTGATTTATGTAATTTCACTAAAACTCAGGAGTGTAAGTGTAATTTACTCTAAATTTCCTTGCACTAAAACTCAGGGGTGTGAGTGTATATGTTCAAAATTATTAGCAATTAGGATTGGAGGGTTAATATATTTAGAATTACAAGAAGCGTTGGTAATAACAATGAATAAATGAGTTTGTGTGGTTGGGCTAGTGAGAGATATCATAAAGATAAAGTTCCTACACTTCTTCTTTCTGTAAAATGTTTAAAATATTATAGAATGAGGCAGTGGAATATAAACCCACACTTATTCCTTCCATACGCAATGATGCAAGTAAACTCTCTTCCTGGCTCTATATAAACCCTTGCTCTCCCCTTCACTTAACCACACAAAATCTCAACTTCATTAGTATTTGTTCCATATATAGAAATGGAGCAAATTAGGTATTTGTTCCATATATAGAAATGGAACAAATTTGGGGTAGGTTGAAGGAAACAAGGGCCAAGTAATTTCTTGTCTCCTATAATCCCCCCAATCAAAACCCTTTTCAAGAATGATGATTACCTTAGTCTTTTATTCAAGTACTGCAGGTTTAAGGAGAGGAGCTACTTAGGTACATGTCAATTTTCATTCAATGTTGTGGGTAAGGGAGGTGACAGAAGAGAGTGAGCACACATGATATTTTCTTGTATGATATGATGTTCCATGCTTGAAGTTATGTGTGCTCACCCTCTATCTGTCACCCCATCACTATCTCTTTCTTTCACTCTCAACCTCTTCAACTTTTCTGTTACTATACTTGCTTCTTTTTTTTGTTTATTTCTTTTCTTGCTTTCCCTTTTTATGGCAGGACTAACCCTAGTTTGCAGGTTGGGACCATGAGTCACTTATCTTATAATATTTTCAGCACATCTCATACCTATCATAGATTCATAGTTTTGCGTGTTTTCTAAGTTATTGTTCTATTGTTCATAGTTTGCAAAATAAATATGAGAAAAAATGTGAATATATAGTTTGCATTGATTAACCATGTTCATAACAATGATTATTGAATAGAAATACTAGTTGATGAATCATGTTATATATGGAGTTCCTTTCTTATTTTCTTCATCTTCTCTAATACCTTAATGTAATTTCTTGAGTATTTTTTCGATAAAAATCGTGCTGGTAAATGGTAATACAAGGAATTGTATTAATTTTCAAAACAATGTTTTTCACAATTTAAACACAGTTTATCCCAATTTATTTTTTCCTCTGCTCTTGATGGCATGTTCCTATATATATGGTTCTTCATTTACTGACAGTAACACTTTCATGTATCAGTAATCTCTCCACCTTAATGTTCTACTATCGATTAATTGTAATACTTTAACATCGATTTGTTGTTCCAATTTTAGAGATGGATGCACATGTACGAAAATAATGAAGTCAAAGAAACCATGTCTCTGAGCCCTCAGAATCAATAACTACCAATTAGATTTTCCATATGCTTTAATTAATCAGCAGTCACTTAACTTCATATAGGAGTAAGTTGACCGGTATATTTATAAAAAAATTATGGAAGGCTTCAAAATAGTTTTAGAAGTCTATTTCACAACTCTCAAATCATGGGTTCATATGCTCAATATATAAGTAGAAACTGAATAGGATGTTCATATTTACTCAATCTATATACATAAATTGGACTAAAACAAGGTCACTAGGTACTCTTCATATAATTTCAACAGTTTAATTTTGCTTTAAAAATACATAAATTGGACTAAAACAAAGTCAAGAGGTATCACTGAGCCACATAACTAGAATTACAAGCCATATATAGCTAGAATTTATATACCACCGAATGACTAGCATTAAGGCAATGTAACAATTAGAACTTGTAAATTAATAAAAAAATTATGGGTTGGAGTGTGCTTATATTCTTATTTTTTGATAATAAAAAATATTGATCATCTATTGTCTCCTTCCCAGGGTTCTAAAATATGTTAGTTTTTAACTGATAGAGATCTAGGTATGTTAAAAACATAAAATATAATAAGTTTCATCACTTTAAGGTTGTGGAATCTACTGGCATGCTGTGTCCTATGGATCTATATGTTGAATGGATTGAAACACTGGTGTAGCTAGGCCTATTATATTTATATTTTGAAAAATATTAAAAGCAACTATATATCCTTGGCTTCCATTATTAAAATTAACAATATTACATGATATATGCCACTACAGATTAAATTGACATCAGACTCATAGCAAAATGTGTATGGTTTTTTTATTGATTGAGATTGGGGAAAAAGAGAGCTCACAATTTCTGTCGGTTTCATGTTAATTTTGACTGCCTTCAATTGCACATAAAAACAAAAATACAATTAAGAAGAGAGAAAAAAAAGGGGGAAAAGCAATTTGTAAGGTCATGATCTTTCATGTCATGAGATTTTAATGCAGGTTATTTTAATCAACAATTTTTACTACATGTTAAAAATTAAGTTTTCATGATCGTTTGATAATGATTTTATCTGCTTTCATTAAAAAAATATGGGCCTCTGAACTTCATTTGCTGCTTGAATTTAAGCTTGAATTTCATCAAACAATAAACAAGATAATAGAGCATAATTAGATGATTAAGAGCAATCTAAGACCATACATTATATGTTACCATCTTATTATTGAAATAAAATGCTTAAATATGTTTTTGTCCTGGAAATTTATTGGATTTTGGTTTTTGTCCTCATTTATATATATTTTTTTGTTTTACTCCCTAGTGATGATGTTTTTTATACCCACATGTGAAACATATCATACAAATTGAGTAATTGATGACTGATAACGAAAATGATTAACTAAAGTAAGGACTAAAAACTAATTTTTTTTATAGGGAAAACAATGAATACATGATTTGTGATTGTACAACAAATGCATAATTGTATAAATTGCAGTAACAACAAATGCATATTAGAGAAACGTCTGTACTATTAAGACTAGTCAGTGACATACACATAAGTGAGGGTTTCTTTTCAAGATCCTTTTCTTTGACATGGTTCACAAGAATATGATGAAATTGCATATTTGTATCGACAGGAAACAGATGATAAAGAACCAGGTTAGAAGGATAACTAAGATTCATGTATGGTATGTCTAGTCACTCTGATCTGAGTTTCTAAGTCTAGGTTGATTTGTTGTTTTCACAATTTCCTGTGAGAAGTGAAGTTTAAGTTAAGAGAAGACATGGAGAAGCAGAAGTTGAACAAACGCATACTTGAAGGACCTGAAGACCAAGTGTGTAATCACAATGAGTTAATTTTATACTTCTCATTGCCAATTGGTTTTGAGATGGAAGCTTAACATGATATCAGAGTCAGATTCCTACTTTTTTAGTTATGAGTCTTACATTGCCTAGCTCATTGTTACGAGAAATGATTTTTGAGATGGAAACTTAACACATTATGTTTCTCATTCTTTGGGAGACATATTTCTGCTGACTTTTTTCTGTTTGCTAGATGATGAGTCTCATTGTAAGGATAATGTTGCATAATGACCACTTTTTCGCTTATGAGTAAGACTTCGTGCATCTATACTCCTCAAACCCAGTAGGTGAGAGCCCACAAATCGGTTTTTTTCTTCTATTTGATGAATCCTAGTTTCATCTGACAGAAGGAAGGAAACATACTTCAGAATGGCTGTAGTGTCATGTTCGTCTTGAGGCAAGTTGTTGTTTTTGCATTTGTATTTTCTACTGCATTATATATAATATATATTATAGTATCTTCACCATCTTTATCTGATAATGTTATGTATACAAGTATACAACTAATTTATTTGTACACCTGATATTTCCATTTAGGGAGAAAAAGCATCCACATAAAATATGTTTGGCAATTGTTGATCTTGTGTAAGAACTCATAAGATTGTTGGAAGTTGATGTGAAGAACAACAATAACAGTAAGTCTAAATAAAGCACATGAAAAATATCTTAAAATTTCCAACACACATTTTATCTCATCCCAAAGGAGCTGGTAATATAAATACCATTCTGATATATGAAATCAGTATATTTTAATTTCATCCATCTCAGTGTGCCTTCTTTTATCTTGACATCTCAACTTGTCATAGGAAAACACAGTCAAAATCACAAACTATGCTTATTACTCCTCCAATCCTCCATGCAAAATATTGTCTAGATCATAGGTTGATACCAAAGAGCGATTTCCTGGCTTTGGATTATTCTTTTGGCCACCTCAAACCAATTCATTTGTAAGTTCTTCTGAAAGTTTGACCTGTAACATCATTAGATGTTTTGTTTAGCTTTTAAAAACAGTTAGTTGTTATGTTTTAATATTATGGTCAGTGATTTATTGTTGTAAGTGTTTGACTTGTAATATCAACGGAACCCACCAATAAAATTGTCACAACTAAATTAAAATAAACATACATGTCATATTTCACCAAGAACTTGAGTTTGTTTTCTGCTCTCATTTTATTATTCTAAAGCTTCTCATTATTTTATTTAAGACTTTTGGCTACTATATGCTACACTCTTATTAAAATATGTAGTGCAATGCTCATTTTTTTCTTGTTTTCTTTTATGTTGATCCAGTTTTAATCATTATTAGTAGAAATACTCTATCAAATTCTTAAATATGTCAATTAAAAAACTTTAATTGTTAATTTTAATTATTTTTTAATAAAATAAAATAAAAAATTATTCAAAGTCCTTATTTTCCTCGTAATCCAGTGAGTATCCAAACCCCTTAAATAGTCTTCTTCTATGGTAACATTGAAATTTGTGGACTTAGTGAACAAATTTCTAGTTTCCTTTGAGTAGAACTTTGGTTACTTAATTAATAAGTAGCATAACAAACTTGACGTCATACTTTAGTTATGAAATTCTCTCATGGACTGATTTTTTGGGTTCATTTGTATTTATGGGCTTAAATCCTTACATTAACTTTGTCATGAATACGTTGACAAAATTATCTAACGCATTACTTAATTATGGTATTTCCCTTCCTTTTCTAACATTTTATTTTTTTATTTTTAAAAAACCTTTGGCTATCTATTATTTGTAGCACATTCAGTTGCAAATTGTCAAAAGTTGTGTATAAAGTTGAATTAGCATATCAAGGTAGGACCCATTTGAGCATGCATGCTCACCTCAAAGTCCAAGTCTTCAATGCCATGCTGTAATGGAAAAGAAGGTTGAAGAAGCAACGTGTATATGGCAATATTGTTTTTGGTGTCACTGAAAAGGGTATGCATATTTACCTAACAATATTGTTTTTTGGTCACATTTCTTTTTGGTGTTTGTGTCTCCCAACAAATATTTACATACATGCTAATCCAATTTCATTGTATACTTCATAATTCAAATACGTTTTTTATATCTGTCTTTTCATGTGTAATAATATATATCATAAAAAGCGGGGTTTCATTTATGGCAATTAACCTAAGAGATTAATATTATTTTAAACAAGCCATGCTCTTAAATGTATATTCTATTTTTTTCATATTAACATGTAATTGTACATTTGGACATCATAATAAATGTTCAGATTTTTTTAGTATGACAAAATCTTTGACTCTAGTGATGCTTAAAAAAGGTATACAAAAAAGTAATGTATGATCGACATCAAAGTTAAGTCTTCTATTTAACTTCAATTTAAAAAAGAATATAAAGCTGTTAAACTATAAGTGTATTATAAACGTTCCTCGACTATAAACACTATATTTGTATTTATCAAATTTTCAAATACAAGTTGTGGATTTTTCATATTGAATGCAACTACCCATGTCTTTATTATTTAGTTTCGAAAAGATAAATTTAATGGAAATGAAGTATTTAATTACTTCTCTATCTCACATTATAGTAAAAAAAATAAAAAAAAATCTAATTGTAATGAATACAAAAATCTTGAAAATTATTGACTTATAATTGGTTAGTATATTTTTGATAGTAAAACATTAAAGAAGCACTATATGCATCTTATTTCTATTGAATTTTCAAATGTT